AGAGGAATGAGAGCGGGCCTTTAAGCCAACACCAGAGCAGCACCATCTGTGGAGATGCTCATTACCCTTCTAGCTCCAGTGCCTTCTCTTTCAACACTATCATTACCTTGGCAGCACTTTCCATACCAAGGGTACCAAACGGCCTGAGCAAGGACATCGGTACCTTTAATGCCCACAGTTGGCTTTAAGCACTTCTGTAATCTATTTTACTGTGTCATAAATGAGTTCCCCGCATTTATTTGTCTTTTCTACCCTGGCAGGCTCGGCTTCTCAAGTCACTGAGGACGCCTCCTGTCCCCGTTAAGGTCCTGGCTGTAAACCTGCCTGGCCAAACAATGCGCATCGCTTGTCAATAATCAGGATGCCAAGTCGTAGGTGAGGTGATGATAGCCTTCCCTGCAGATGGAAAGGGAGCGGCTGTAAACCGACAATCTCTCCCACCGGCCTAATGCAGGCTCCTGAGCATCTGGTGGCTCCAGCAGAGAGCGATGAGGCATTGGTGCTGGCCAGGGCCGCCTCAGAGAAGATGGTTGTGCAGGTCAGAAAACAGGCAGGCAGACTGGCACCGGACAAGGAACCACAGTGCTTGCAGTTTAATTAAAAAAGCATTTCAACAAGAACAAGACAGAGCTGTTCTCAAGCTGTTATCTTAGCATCCATTCTCACCAAAGCACATTTCTGAGCCGCTGTCAGCGGTCTTCAAGGAATTAATTCCTTTTGCCAAGTCTTTCAATTAGGAAGCTAGCGGAGGAGAGATTTTTCAAGAGTTAGACTCCCCACTTTAGACACAACCCCATTCTCATCAGTGTATCAATGGGGACTGGGGCTAGAAGTCTGTGTCTATCGGAGGGCCACATTAGGTCACAGCAATGGAAACACAGAAGGGAAAAGACAGCTCTTAACTGTCACTTTTAGTTTCAAAGTTAGCCCTGAGGACTTACATAACAACATCCTTTCTCAAGGACCCCTACAAAATTCAGACATGCCAGAACCCCAGGACCTCCTGAACATGATTCTAAGAGTTAAATCTGGGGGTGTGCAGAAGGCATGCCACTTACGTATCCAAGTGACAAGCTCACCACTGACATGCCCTGCTGGTATTTGCTGATGGCAATTTTGCTAAGCTCTAAAGTTGCTAGTTCAAGCCAACACCCACCTGTATCCTTCTAGGAGTCACTGGACTACATACAGCAACAGAAGAGTCAGCCCAGATTATTTCTTCCCTAACCTCGCCTACAACCTGCCGGGTTCCACATGCGACTGAATCTCAGAAGGCCAGGGAGGGACTGGCTCTGAGTCCAATGTAACTTTACTGCCTCTACAGAACAGTTCAGTTGGGTTTCCCTTCTGAAACTGTACCAACTCTTTCTGAAACATTCACAGTAACACCTGGGGCGAAGGGATCTAATAGCACAGATGATATAGCCAAAGCCTCCATTCAGTTCAAAGGAAGACAATGCCTTTTCCGTATTGAAAGCAGACTGGAAAAAAAAACACAAGGTGGAGGGATTCTCACCACTACAGAGGGACTTGGGCAAGTAATTCATGACTATAACCCAGGAATTACATGAAATAAAACGTCACTATTAAAGGTCTACCATTTACCGAACACCTGTTACGTACAGGGCCCTGTACTAGGCACTTGCATTTCTACCATCTTGTGAGATAAGGAATGATCAGCCCCACTTTATAGGGGGGGAACAGGCTCAGAGAGGTTAAGTGGTTGACTAAAATCACACAGACAGTATGAGATGGAGCTAGAACTCTGGTCACCCAAAGCCCACTCCCCTTTCAGATTCCTCTGCTCTGATGAGGAAACGAGATGTATAACAGAGGGTCACTGGAGCATCCCCACCCCCGCGGGTCTCCCAGAATCCTGCTCCCTGCCGCTTTCATACCTCCGGTCAGCTCCATCGTGAGCTTTTCATTTTCTATCATTTTCTTCTTTTCTTCTAGCTCAGCAATCAGGTTCTCTTTCAGCTCCACCTTCTTGTCTTCAAATTCTTTCACCGCGGCCTTCTTTTCTTTGATGTAATTTCTTTCCACTTGCTCAGTCTGAGTAAAAGAGGAACACAGGCTGGGGTGACATGACCCAGCAGCAGGGCTCCAACTCCAAGCCTGGCTCTGCGCTCAAGTGCAAAGAAAATACTTTACTAGAAATAAGAGAAAGAACTACCCTTGCACATAGACTTGCGGTAACAAGGTGTCTGGGAGCAAGTTCTTCAACGAACACATGAAATGGAATCACTCAACTTCTTGTTTTTACATATATACCTCACTTGCTACACAGACATCTCCTCTTTTCCACATCTGATATTTTACAGTTTGTATGTGAAAACAGAACATAAGTTTCTCAAAGGTAGTAAACAAAGGAAGGACACAATTCCAAAGGAAGATAGTACATTCCAGATGAAATATCTACCTTCAAAACTCGTTACAAGATACCGAGTCGAGACAGCATGAGTTACTACATTCTTTGATGCTTATAGTAAGATAAAGACCAACTAGAGCACAAGATCACTTATTAGGTGCCTGAACCCCGAGGTGAAATTACACTGAAATCATACTACGAAAGAAATGCACAAGCATCCATTTTCTCAATCTCACTGCCACATGAAGTGAGGAGTAAGAGGGCTCATAAGGGGCTGTGGATCATGTGACCCTTCAGGCTGTGACCACGTGGCTATGCTGACTTAAGTCCTAAAATGGTTTTTCTAATAACGTGGCTCTAATAAAACTACACAACCACCCCAAACCTACAACACACACACACACACACACACACACACACACACACAAGCCACAAGCGCATCATCCAAGATTCTGGCCCTAATCTCCACACTGCAGCGCTGTGCCTCACACAGAATCAGCACTCAGACGTCTGATGAATGAACGGTTTTAAAACCGTCTTTCCTATGGACCCAGAGTTTCAGATGTAAAACAGTGAATTCAGTCACTGGGCTGCTCTGAGGACCGATATAACAAATTACCAGGCCATTGTAATTCAGACACCCTCCCAAATGGCTTTAACGTGAGATAAAAGTCAACAAGAAAGCAGTGAGGGGCGAGTATCCCCCAGTCCCCTGTGATAAGCAGAGGCTACCCAACCAACAAATGAATAGATGGAATTTCTGAGCTGAGACCAAATGGCCTTCTGTCAAACAGAACAGTGGTGGAAGCTTCCAGCAGGGGGATTCCCCACTATCTATTTGGTGATGGAAGCAAAGGCCCCTGGATTGGGAGAGCAAGATTCCAGTCTCTGAAAGAGCCTGCAAATCCCGAAGATCCGTGGTACTTACTTCCAGCTGGAGGAAGAGTTCTGAAAGAGATAAAATATGCAATTAGACTCACTAGGCTGTGTCACCTTTCTAGACAGTGATGTTAAGATTCATTCAGAGGCCGTAATTGCTTTCTGAAAGCACAGTTACCCAGAGCAAATGTTTCCATCAGTAGAGTGTTGATATACACGAAGTGGAAGCATGCAAGAAGCGCGCTCTCTGGTTACAATCTGGCCCTGAACGGAGTCAGCTTTGGCAATTCAGTCCAGGGGACCAGCAGCAGGAAGCAAACCACCTTGGCAAAATAAAAGTAGGAGCAATCCCTTCCTTCACTCAGTACATGCCTTCCAACGGTCCTACGGGCACGACGGGTCAGGAAGAAACAAAGCAATTACTCCAGAAGCAGAGGCCACATGGTTGTTTTTAAAGCCCTGTACACAGGGTTCTGTGTGGTAAGGAGGGACACTCCCTGAGAATCCAGAAAGCAGAGGTTCTGAGCCTCCACTCACACCAGGCCTCCACCCGCAATGCCCTCCAGGCTCTGATGGCAACTTCAAGTTTCAGATCTACTGTAGCCTCCTCTGTGAAGCCTTTCCTGAGGACCCTTCGCTCACCAAGCCCCTCTCAGACACCTGAAGTCTCCACTCAACAGTATTCACCAGCTTACTGAGCACCCCGTGTGCCAGGTGATCAGTGGCAGTTCACCCAGCACCAACTCCCAGCTAGACTCTAAGCCCCTCTACAAACCCAGTACGTGAACAAAACAGGTTTATGGCTTCTAATCTTTTCCGGGTGACAGTGGAGCTGACTGTTGGTGGACCAACAATGCCAAGGGCGCTGTTCCCATTTTACCACGGTCGCTTTTGCAAGCCTAATAAATCCTATGCATCCACTCCCCCATAAAAAAGCACATACGCACATTCTCATGTAAAATTTTGAGTTTCAGAAACTCAAGATGAAGAAACCAATCGTCAATCAAGAGCTGTCAGATGAGAAAATCACCCGAGGAAAGTGACCAGCCACTTGCTATTTTCTACCCCTGGATGCCCCCATCACTCTGGCCCTGGGAAGCACGGAACACACGAGCCCCAGCACATCCGGCCCAACACACTCACTGCTACGCGGGCCTCAGACCTCTACCTGCGTAAACGGGCCAGACACCTGGAGTCTGCACCATTCTGAGAAATCACGCCTGCACCAAGTCAAGCGACAGCACTCAGAGCTGGTGGTGTTTATTTTAAAGCAGCCAGACACCAGACACAACAAAAGCAGGCAGATTATCTCTGCATGAAACATGCTTTTTAAAGCTCAAGATGTGACTGATTCAGGAGCCCTTATGCATTTTTACCCAGAGGTGGGGGGGGGTGATGTTTGTGAAAGAACACCTGAGGACAGGACTGAGAGTAAAGAAAAACAGTAACACTCACCCTGTAGTTCTTGTTTAAGAAAAATGACATGAATTTTCAATCCTTATTTACATCTTAAACCAATCCCATGAAATATGAGTATTCCCCTCTACAGATTGGGAAACTGAGGCTCCAAAAGCAAATACCTGCTTACAGGTATAAGATATTAAGAGATGGGAGGAAGCCCTCAACCTAGGACCTCAGCATCCATGGTACCACCTCCTTTCCCTGCTTAAAGGGAACTCCGGGAAGAGGGCTGAGGATTTCAAAGCTGTCCCGAGGAGATGCCTCAGTGTAGCCCCCTGACTGTGGGAACAAAGGAACGAGCCTTGGGCTAGAATGGTAAACAGTTATAAAAAGTTGCAGACTCTGAGACTGCCAAGG